GGCCGGCCGGCCCAATGCGGGGCGGGGCAGGGCGGGCTGCGCGCTGCTCATCACCGACCCCGCCTCTTCATCCTTAATGCACGGGTCCCAACTCAGGGCGGGTGGCCCGGGGGTACCCGCGACCGCCGTAATCAGCGTAGAGGCAGTGGCCCGGGGGAGGGGGGTAGCGGTAGCGCGGTCAAGTTGGACTGGTGCCTCTCCCCATGGTGGTATCCAGCTCCCACCTCCCTCTTTCTCATGTGCCGCCTCTCGCTCGTGTTCCAGATCCGGCGGGCGAACGCGGAGCGGCAGCGCCTTTCGCGGCTGCAGAAGAAGGAGATCGGGCTGGCCACCATGCTGCTGTGCGTCGTGGTCGTCTTCTTCATCTGCAACATCCTCGCGCTCGTGGCCAACGTGATGGAGGCCTTCTACGACAAGATCATCGACCAGCTCATCAAGCTGTCCAACCTGCTCGTCACCATCAACTCGTCCGTCAACTTCGTCATCTACGTCATCTATGGCGAGAAGTTCAAGCGGCTGTTCCTGAAGCTCTTCTGCCCGCAGGGGAAGCTCTTGTGCGGCAGCCCGGCGGGCGGCGGCCGCGACAGCCCCGAGTGCGACAGCGTGGTGTCCAATGGGGATGGCCGGTCGTACTCGGTCCGGTCGACGATGCAGCTGCAGCGCGCCAACACGGTGCGCAACGGCAGCCGCAGCGGCGGCAGCGGCGGCTGCAACGGGCCCTCGCGCGCGCCGTCCGTGGGGCCCTGCGTGTACTACCCGCACCACCCGGGCGGCAGCAGCCACCACAACAACAACAACAGCCACCACTACCACCACCACCACCACCGTCAGCACTCGCCGACGGCCACGGTCACCACAGTGCTGGACGACTAGCAGGCGCGGCGCAACCCGCAGGGCCGCAAGCAGTACGGGGTGCACTCTCCGGCGCAGGCGCACAGCCTCGCCGACGGCCACCCGGGCAGGCCGGCCAGGCTCTCCGTCAAGTTCCTCTAGGGGACCCAGAGGGCTCCCAGGAGGGGCCGGAGCCAAAGTGCGCGTGCGAGAGAGGAAGCGGAGGCTCTCTGTTCCGTGAATATCGGAGAGCGAATAAGCGACTCCCCTCGCTCCCTCCTCCACTCGCCCTGGTCCCTTCCTGCTCTTGCCTCGACGGACGAACTGCTTGCGACCCGTTGCTTAGCCACGACGCTACAGCAACGGGTGCTCTCTACGGGTTGTGCTTTGTGAATGGACATGGCCATATTGGCCCTCAAAGGAGCCTGCTACAACAAAATGGAACTGTGTATTTATAAAAATAACTTTGGTTAGCTGTGATATGTGGAATGATTTGGTGGCGTAATTTATTAAATAGAGTTAATGATGTTGGGTTGTTCTATATTATGTGCCTCTTTCTAATTGAGAAGTAAAAGTATCCTTTAAGGCAATTTTTATTTTTTAAAAGAGTAGTTTACTAAATTTTTGGCTTTACAGTGTGAGGTCTCTATCAATTATTATCTGACAGTTCCTCTGTCCTTGTCTAGAGTGAGCCATTATGAAG